CAAACTGATACTCCTTCTAGTATCAAATGGACTTATACGAAGCTCAGCCCAAAATTTCATGACTTTATGGCACAATGTTCAGGAGTAGTAGGAAACAATTTAAATCCCTCGTTTAAGAATTTTAGATTACTTCCAACTGCTTTTTTCTGAAAATTCAATTCATTGTGGAAATAACAAACAACTACTGGTGTCAAAAACCTAAAAGGAATAACCTGCAGGTGTGAGAAGAAACACAATTGAACAAATTATATTGTTTTATTGCTGTGTCATTATTAATCACATAATGAGAATCTCATTATTAATCTCTTCTCAGTAGATCACATAATGAGAATTCTTTCGAAGTCACATAATTTTTTATTCTGTGACATTCGGCCCAAAGTCCCCCCCCCTCAACCTAAATGTCCCAAACGTCTTCCTTTGGAAGCATTTGAAGGATGTAGAATTTACAGTTTGAGTAGGAAGTGTGGAAGAGCTAAAGGAATAAATCAGGAGGAAACTGAGAGCATATCCTTAGAAATCCATAACTGTGTCATTTAAAGTGCTTGTAACAGTCATGTGCGCTGTTATGCTAAATAAGGTAGTCATTTGGCAGACGCAGATAGTGTTTCACAAATAACTAGCATATACAAAACAAAAAGTTATCATTAAAGGAATATTGTTGTAAAGATAAGCTGCTTCGAAGTAATATTTTCAGTGAAATTATAAGCAGAAATCATTTATTTTCATTATAAAAATGCTACATGTCTGAAATGAGTGAATATTAATGCTGTAGAAACATACTTTTGTGGCTTATGCTGCCATATAGCACAACCATTGTTATGTAAAACCTTCTCGCTCCCCAAATGTATAACCAAACGTGGCCAATTCTTCCACACCGAAAGGGTTAATGTACACAGTATTTGTGTGGATAAACTTAGTAATGCACTATATACTGAAGTAAACAAAATTTAAAACAAATATTAACTAATTAATCATTGCTTGAATCTTCACACAAAGATCTCCAAATATCTATAGTAGATTAAGACAATTCAGATCAAATGAAATTTAATAAGACCAATAAAATGTAATAAGAAGAAAAATGCAATTCAAACAAAATGAAATTTAATAAAAAAATTAAGTAGGAGGTGGAGGAGAATGAAATTCAAATTGCATTAATTAATTTGATTTATAACTGGGAAACATTTTTCTTAGCAAAGGCAAAAAATTAAAAACTAGGAGATTTGATATCTAGCAAGAAAGTTAGCAGCTATGAGTAGCTTATGTTAAATTCCTTCTAAAATGTCATTAGCATGCCATATTTTGCTTCATCTAGTGCTTTATCTGCAGAGGTGCTAATATGCCCGATATAGTAAGTTTGAATATTTTTATGATCCCTTGATCCTTGGATTAAAGAGGTGGCATTAGGTTGGAAGAAGTAAAACCTCTATATTTGGATGCAATGCTGCACAACCGATGCTCCGTAGTAATGTGGCCAATGTTCTGTACCATGTATGAATGAAATTCTAGCACTGGGTTAATTAAATGGAAACAATTAAGGATAATGCATATATGCAAAATCGTATTCCGTAAATCAGTGCTTGGCAAGGATCCACTATACTGCAATAATGCACTATCAAACTTAGATTTTGAAACAAGAAGAGATAATATCTGGCTCCAATGCATCATAATTTTTGTTTGCAGTACACGCGACATCACATATTCCAATTTAATTTCATTTATTTCAATGCATTTCATGTTAGCATTAAACTACAATATTATATATACAGGGTGGAAAAACTTTGACTGCACATTTTTTAAATAATATACTCAACTCAAGAGATAATGAAACGCCAAATATTTTATATTAACTTTTTCACTGTACTTCCATTAACATACAATGCCACATAGACTTTACTAATGTGCTTTGTATGCATTTAGTACAGTTATTTGTGAAACACTATGTCTCCCAAATTAATGCCTCTTGGAGATTTTAGGAATTGGAGATCTAGGCTACACTGTGTGGACAGACAACAATGAAAGATTTCTGAAAACAGTCTCATAGCCTTGACTCTCAGTAGCCACGGAGTAATGGCTTCTTCAACAGCATAAGAGAGAGGTTTACAAAACTTCTGTCTTAACCATCATAACAGTCTAGCATGCCTTAAGGAAGGAGTTTTGCAATAAGCAAAGATGGAGAAAAATTCTTAATCGGGAGACAATTGGTGCATGACAAAGGCATACCAGCAAAAGCATACAAAATAAACCTCACAGAGAAGGATGGTAAGAATGCTGAGCACGTGAGTCCATCATTTGGAGTCTTCAAAATTCAGCATAGCGTCATGCTCAAGTGTTGCAATAAACATGATGGAGCATACACAAGATTCTAGGTCAGGACTTCCATTTTCATCCATATAAATGACAACATGTGCAAGAACTAAGTACAAGTGATAATAAATTACATATGCACAGACCATGATGATTTTAATTTATTCATTCCCTCTGAATAACTGATGAAGCAAACCTCCATTTTGACAGGTTATATATATATATATATATAAAAACAATGCTGGGCACCACAGGGCACATAGGAAAGCCCCAAACTCGCAAAAGTATAGGGGAAAGTATGATGGGAGTAACAAATCCACACTTTTTTTAAACATTCAGTTGGCCATGCAATTGTAATAAGAACAGAATAATATTCTCAGAAATCCATAACTGTGTCATTTAAAGTGCTTGTAACAATCATGTGCGCTGTAATGCTAAATAAGGTAGTCATTTGGCAGACGCAGATAGTGTTTCACAAATAACTAGCATATACACACAAAACACAGCAGTCTATATGGCATGTCTTTAATGGACATATGTAGCAAAAAAATTATATAATTTCAAGTATCATTATCTCTATGCCAAGTACATTACTGTCAAAATGGGTAAACAAAAATTCTCTACCATGCATATAACAGATGGAAAGCTCTCAAAAGCATATTGTGACTGATTAATTAGTCAGTTCCACAGTACACTACTGAAAATTTTCTCTGTGATAATCTAAACATTTCTATGTAATTGCCTTTTATTTTTTCAGGAAAAATATTCTGCTGAATCTTTGTCTCTATCTCATTGAAGCATATTAATCACAGAACAAAAATATATTTTGGATAATAATTTTAACAAAATTCAAAATATACGACACAAAATATAGTAGAAATACCCAAAAAAAGTAAAATTAGAGAGCAGATTGAAATGTAAATCAGCATACAAATGAATTTAAAGAGAAATACATTAGTAGTTATAACAAATACAACAAAGAAACAGAGTGAAAATATTTGATTAAAATTAACCTTCTTATTAATACAAATTATAAAAAAATTTCAATCTTACCCATCCAACCATTGTTTCTCTTTCTCCACTATAATACAACATTTTTAAAGGTCTGGCACTTTTATACATTCTGTGATGCAAATATTGATACAGTCCAAACAAATGATTCCAATCTTCAATGGTTACATATGGAATTTCTACCCTAGGGGCGGTGAATTGAGCAGTTGAACGTGATTTATACAAAAAATGCCGAACTTCTGTAATTCCAACTTGGGAGACAGAATATCCACGACAATTTACAGCTTGGTCAATAGCTTCTAAACAGTGATATTTTTTTAGCTTCTGTAAATAATAAAATATTACCTTCACTTAGTTATTTAATATGAGTAATGTCAAGATCTGCAACAAATATAAATCCACTATTTATATTTAAAAAGGTATATACTTACAATGGCAAATCATTTGTTTCTTCTAGCATGCTGAGAAGGGGATGTAATATTTCAGTCAGTATTTCACTGTTTCCAATTAGCAAGATATGCAGTGTGGTAATGGTTTCAAACTCAAATTACATGTGGGCCAAATGCACAATCTAAAAACAGCTGACAAGCTTTTTCTTTCTTTTCTTTTCTTTTTTTTTTTTTTTTTTTTTCCCAAAATAAAACATTTTTATAAACAAAACTACATTTTAAATTAATTTTAAAATTTTAGTAATTAAATATTGTCAAAACCTACATAAAGTAATAAATATCTAATATAATAACAGCTAAATCTAAAATCAGCTAACAAGCTTTTTCTTTCTTCCTTTCTTTTTCTTCTTCTTCCCCCACCCCCCAAATAAAAAGTTTTATCTACATAAAGTAATAATAATTTTGTTTGAAATCTAAAGGTTCGTATCTGCAAGAAATCTCATACTTTGCAATTCAAATATATTGGCAGAATTCAAATAAATTTTCAGACTGACATTTCTTTTAAATAGTTATAATATTTTGAATTAACAACTAAATAACTTAGTTTTAAAATACACAAATTATGAAAACTTTCCATGTGAGACAAAACTTGAGAATAAATAATGACAACCTAATCTTTTTTCCTCCTGTTTGTTAAATTGTCCTTCATACAGAAAAAATACATATAGTTATACGTAAACAATTATAAACTTCTTTATTTCTTATTACAAATTTAAGCTATAACACCTCATGGCAGCACTCCGATTCTGATAAAGTTTGTAGCCTTGGAGGAAAAAAATTATTAGAAACTATTTTTATCACAAACTGTAGATGCTTTTCAATCAATCTACTTTTTAAAACTTATTAATTTTCAAATGTGGGAAGAAAACCGTTCATATATAAATGTATTCTCAAACTAAGTGATTATTCTTATATAAAAACTTTGCAATTGAGAGTATCTTTTGACAAATATGAAAATATGAAAAAAGTCAATCAAATTTGTATCTTCAAATAATGAAAAAGTTTTCACAATGCAGATTAACCCTTGTGCACTGATTTTCATGCAGATGAGTCAGTATGAAATGCACTATTTATGGGCTGGCATGCTGAGAAAGCATTTTCTCGTTCACCTCCACCCATCAGGCATTTGTGTCAGAGCTTTGGAACATGGAATTAATATTTAGGATACGGCATTAATATTTTTGGCACAAGATACCGTTATAATGTCTATACGATTTGAGAAGATATAGGTAGATTTGACCTTCTACTTGAAATGAGACAAAAAAGACCCACATGTACTTGGAATTTTGATTATATAAATATAAGTTATGTTCTGGACTTGCATGATTCCTGACCACTCTTGGCTCTTTAAGTGCACATTTGTATTTACAAATAAATGTGAAATGTGATTCCCCCCCCTTGCTACGGCATTGGCTACAGCATTGGGTATTTGGGTTTGCAGTCCAGTTTCTAATTGAGAATTATATCTTGTGTATGTGAAATGTTTCTGTTTTGAGCATTACAATGTCAAAGCTTCAGAAATATTCAACAAATTACATGAAACCAATTTAAATTATATTTGAAACTTTATCATTTATACACGAAAAGAAACTTTAGGAATTATATGAGAAAAGAATTATTAAATCTCTACTTGAAGAACTTTCTGGTCAAGGCTAATATTTATATATATATATATATATATATATATATATATATTTTTTTTTTACATCTCTATCATTGACAGATGAACGTTTTAGACCTGGTACAAATACTCGTGAGACTGTAATGAGGAGAAGGAAATGAATGATTGAAAATTTTCTGCTGCCCAAAATGAAAACTGGTGAGATATTGGTTTTATAGAAAGAGAACCTAAATTTCTTTCCAAGGTAGACCGGAAGTGCTGCATGTGGCCCGTGGGCTGCCAGTTTGAGACCAGTGTACTATGGTATTTGCAAATGTGGTCATATTTTTGATAGAAATCTTTTAAGAGAATAACTTGAATGTGTAATCTGGAATTCTGTCTGAAGACAAAAAAGTTTAGTTCTGTAGTAAAGCAAAGAACATGCTTGTATTTTCAAAGTTTCATTTATGACAGCAGTACTTTTTATATAATTTATATTTAAAAAAATTCATATACTTGAACAAATAAGTAAAAGAATTTTACAAGTCAACATAAAATGAAGGGTTTGATTATAAGGTGCTCAAAATTAAAAACAATATGCTAAAGAGTTAAACTGTTTTTCTCCTTAAAAAGAATTTGTAACAGAAGTAAAAATCTATGGCATGTGTTGCAGCTTTGCTCCATTTTTTAACAGCTGAATATCAACTTTGGCGCCATTATGTAAATCAATTGCTACTATAACTGTATCACATCACTAAGTTTTAAAATAAGCCTTTTGTAAAACATATAGCATTTACTAAATCATGATTTACACATAGCTAGTGCTACTGTAATTAATCAGAGAACTTGGTCAACAGCTAATGTAAATGCAATTTTTACTTTTTATCTATGACAAAGAAAACTATGCTGGAATTTCTGACAAAAGCTCATTGTATATAAAGTTGGCACAATTACTTTTCAAAATACAAAGATTATGAATTTTTTGCAGTGCTGATATTAAAAGATACTGAGTATTAAAACAACAAGGATGCTAGATAACAAGGCTTAAAATGCATTAAATTGTTGCTAATCTAGTAATCAAAGATAAGCATAGGCCCAGTTCCACTATACTCAGCACCACAGTTGATCAGTACAACTAGCACCTCAAGTAAACTAAATATATTAACGACTCAAAGAAAAATATTATCTTTATTTAGTTGTTGCTTGTGAGAAAAACTGAATTAGATACATTCCTACGATCTCATTGATCACGTGACTTTGTATACCTTTTGTAAACAAACAATGCAGATGACCTCAGAGATAACGTGACTTATGTACAGCTAATGCAAAAAAGCAAGGTCATTCTTCCTCTTCTTCTCTTTCGGAATGGATCTCATTGGTTCTCTCCAAAATATAACCTCCCTACACAAGTGCCTATGTTACCAATGATTAGTACTGGCCCTATATAAACACAACATCACAGCTGGATAATTTGCACACTGGTATTAAATTTATATATCTACTGCAAGAAATATACACAAAGTATCCCACTTTTAAAAGCAAATACTTCTGAATATTTTGAAAATCAAAATGTGCATAGCAATTTCTGTTGATTTCGGAAACAAAACTTGGATTTACTAAAACGGGCATAAATTTCTCAAACCAAAGAAATCTTTGAAATTAAAATTATGTGTTTAATCGCAATAAATTATGTTAAAATTGTAAAATGTTTCATACTGCTATAAATACTTTCAGCATTATATTTTTCACAGACTATATTTTTACAACATAAGAAGATGCATCACTTTATACTACAGAAATGAAAAATCGAATGATAAACTTAGACTTACCTCTACTATTTTATTGCGGCATTCTTTAAGGGGAAAGAACATATCTTTGTCTACTGTAAGTAACATGAGGCAGCATTTATTTTCTTCATCTAAATATGAAATGTGACCATGAAGAAAACCACTGTAAAATATGTATCTCTTTTAAACAATATCTAAAAGCAACTTACATTTTTAACTTATAGATATTACACTGATTATCATAAATTAGGGAAAAATCACAAAAATAGCGATAACTCTCTCAAAAATAAGCCAAACTGTGTAAAATTTGAATATGTTGCCAAGTAAGAGTAGCTGAGTAAAACTACAATATGCAAATTAGTGGCACTGCACTCGGAATACGTCATCTGCGAGGAGCATAAAAGTCCTTGTTTGAGAGCAAGTCCACATATTTCACTGTGATAGTTACATCTGAAATTTGAGATAGCCAATTCGTAACAATGACCTCAGGCATCATTTGCCTGCAGAACTACAATGGAGAGCCATTGATAGATTAGAGGCAGGACAAAGTCAAACAGAAGTGGCCAGATGGCTAAATGTGAGTCCTTCTGTGGTTCATAGACTTTGGAGGCAATTTCAAACCACAGATTCGGCATCTAGGAGGTTCAGCCAAGGACGGCCAACTGCTACGACGAGCGCCAATGACCGATATTTGAAATTATGTGCACACAAGAATAGAACCGCTACTCCGACTCTTCTTAGACCCTCTTTTGCTGCAACCACCTGAAGGTTGGTGTCAACGTCAGCTGTCCATAGAAGGCTTCACGAAGGTGGTCTGTATGCGAGGCGACCAGCCATTTGTGTGCCGCTCATGTCACGCCATAGGAGAGACTGTTTGCAGTGGGCACTATAACATGTCTACTGGATGCCTGATCAATGGAGGACTTCTCTTTACAGATGAGTTCAGGTTTAGTCTAGAAAGCGATAGTAGGTGTTATTCGATATGGAGAGAACCTGGAACCCGTTATCTTCCATTAAACATCCGTGAAAGATATGCATACAGAAGAGGCAGTGGCTGTATTTGGGGTGGCACCTCTTTGGGTGGATGCACAGACCTCCATATCTTTCCAAGGGGAACCGTGAATGCTCAAGTTTATACAGATAACATCCTTGATGCTTATGTAAGCCCATAATGCCAGGGCAATAGGGGATGCTTTCCTCTTACAGGACGATAACTCAAGACCACACAAGGCTCGCATCGTAGACGCTTATCTTCAACAGGAAACAATGATGCACATGGAGTGGCCAGCTCAATCCCCAGACTTGAATCCTATCAAGCACACTTGGGATGCTTTAGGGAGGCGTCTAGCTGCTCTCAGCCCCTTACCAACTGCTTTGCAAGAGCAATAGCTCTCACTTCCTATGGAACTGATAGACCGCATAATTGAATGCATCACATATCGCTGTGTGTGCTGTATTGCTTCTAGAGGGCATCGTATTGAAGGTACTTTTCCTATAGCAAACCAATACCTTCGATTTGTTTATTTTATACATGTGCTAATTTCTATACTACAATAATTGTGTGGTAATTTCTTTTTATGTTATTTGATACCTTTGTTGTATATTGTGGGTAAGTTTCATAAAATTCTACATGTAATTTTTCAGTAATGGTGATTTTTGTGATTTTTCCTTAATTTATGATAACCAGTGTATATTAAAAAGAATTTAAGGTATTTTTTTGTTAAAGTGGCCACCTTGATCAGTTTCCAAACTTGACAGATTTAATCCCCCAGTCTTTTTTAACCTACAACAGATTTGATATTCAGACTGTTTTGATTATGATGTTGTCCGCATGATCTCTTCTTCAATTCAGTATTTCTTTTTCCCTCAAAATATTTACTGCTTGTTACTTATAACAAATTTTAAAAAAGAAAAAAGTCATTTTTTTGTATATTTATAATGTGTAATGTATTAGATTTTCATGCTTACTTTAGATCGTGTGATATCATTCTTTAAGTAATTTTCTCTCTAAAATGTTGACCATTTTTAACTTGGTGCTTATTCCCCATTTTTTAACAAATAGGCAATAAGCAGTTTTTTCATGATACTATTCATTCTTTTGCCCCCTTCATTAATTCCCCCCTTCTAAAGTTTTATCCATATTTAACTTCCCGTTAAATGAAAAAGAAGCAATTCTCCTCCCCTCCCTCCCCAAAAAAAAGGCCTGAATTTTGCACACAGAGCAAGAGAACAAAAATTACCACCACAGACTGATTAAATGATTTCATGGATCGATAATTCTTTTCTTTATCACTTCATATACTGTTTCTTCTGTGTTTCATATACTATTGAGCTGAAGAATTAACTTTCATTGAACAGTGCAACAGATAGTTGAATATGCCTAAAAACACAGCAATTAATTGGAATAATTGTACAAAAGGAGTTTGCTGCTTGTTTTTGGTCAAACACTATAACGGTAAAATTGGTTCACCTGAAAAAAAAAATAATTGAGATTGACGTTGAGATTGATGAAAATCTATTCATCAAGTAAAAAAGAACAATTTTGTTGAAACAATTGGGGTTTCGGAAGGAATCCGCAGGGAAATGAAAGCATGTTCCTGCAGGGAAATGTAAAATTAAATTACCAGAGAGAGAGACCAAAACTCTAATGGAGATGACAAAAGAACATGCACATGAAGAAAGTACAATATATCTGGATAGCTGGCATGATTGTTGCAGCAAAGAATTAGAAAAGGCCAGTTTTCAACTTAGTAAGTACAGTACAATTAGAAAAGGCCGGTTTTACAATACACAATTTTGTAGGTCCAACAAATAATGCAAATGCACAGAAAATCAAGCAATTCTGCATGCAGACAAATTACAAAACAAAAGACAAAGAGAAACGATTTGGCAACACTGGATTAATTTTTAGGGCTTATGTGATGGTAATATGTAGAACGAGAGAAAATATTTGATTCCACAATAACAGGTATTATGCTGCATTATGACCTCCACACAGATAGATAAATGTTATTGAGGTTTTTCATTTTTTGAATGTTGCCACAGCATTTAGTTATCACCAAATTAATTTTAAATGTTTTCTAATTTCACCAAAGAATATGTGGTGGCCACTTTATCTAAGAAGTGACAAATTTAAATATAATATATGATTAATTTTATCTTAAAATTAAAAAGACCAAATTATCTTACAAGTTGATGGAACATGAGATGTGAGAATATTAAAGAATGTACATCAAATTAATTAAAATTGTTAGTTGGGATTGCTATCATTTTAAGAAATATTTAAGATATAAAATATGCATTATTATATAATTTTTTATTCTAGGAATGAAAAAAGCACACTACCTTGAAATCAAAACAATTATATAGATAAATTACCACTTCAGATGCATTAAATTTTACTCAGAAACATTATACTTAAAAAAATTTCACTTATGCATAAAATTAATATTAAAAATTATTCAAATATTGACATAATGCATAAAATGAATTTACAGAATGCTAGGGAAATAATTAAATTACAAAAATTTTAAATTTTACCTGGAATCAAATTTAGGAAGACAGATTGGTATCCATGATTCCATAGATTTGAATGACTCAGATGCACTAACTAAATTCATAATTAAATGAAGATCAGCTGGATGTAAAAAATATTTCTTCATTCGCACTAATGTAACAAGTTGATTTTCAGATAGCAGAATTGCAAATACAATATTCTGAAATAAATTAAGAGCACATAAATAAAAAAAGCACCTTAATAAGAAATCTTCATTAGAGACACAAATTGATTTATTTTTTCTTCTTTAAATAATTTATTATTTATTTAATATATATATATCTGTACTCCAGGCCTGAAAATAAACTACATCATCTTTTACATATTTATCTACCTTTTGAGTATCTCAAAAATTGCCTTGATTTGGGGGGGAGGGAAGAAAGAAGATGGTCACATGAGATACATTAGCTGCAAGAATGAAATTCCCAGGCCCATAATTTCATTGTTTTTGCCATAACAGGTGGTGCATTCAGCAGTTTGATATCCTTACTGCCATTACCCACATATGCTAATCTTATGCAACCTTCTCAAAAAGAAAAGCTTCTCATTTTCTCAGCTTCAAGAGCTTCTTTCCCCCACAGATGAAAGCATGAATAATGCAATGTTTTACATGCTACTTATTGAGATACATCACCCACAGTTCTACTTTATAAGATTTTGTCATTAGCAGCATTTGGGTTGGCAATTCAAAATCTGAATATGGCTCATAAAATATCTGAATTTAAAGAAACTTACAATAATAAAACATAAAGATTAAAAACTTATTATTACACCTTATACTTTTTAGATTAAACAATAAGAAAGATTAATTATTACATACAGCACATCTGCCATGACAGGACAATTTTTGCACTTGTATATTAGCTGACACCTCCCACAATACAGCAGCATCGATTGATTCACAACTTTTGGCAATGAAATATACTTTTAAGGTCAACAGCTTGATTATTTTTAAGTACTTCGGGCAGATACTGTCTAACAATTACATTTGAAATTGCATGAAACAGATTGTTATTCCCTGCAGCTAGTCTCTACCACTGTAAGAACTCTGCTAATAAGCAAAAACAGCAAGTGACTTTCTTCAAAACTATTCCCAGTTCTCATTCTATTACTTATTCAATAACTAAGTAATGGACATAATGGAAGTTCAGCATTTCCACTACACAACTTCCATAATGTCAGATCCACTGTGTGAGAATTTGTTGACAAAATATCAAATAACTAGAAACAAAGTATTGGTTATACATCATTTCTGGGCAACACTATTAAATGGAAGACACAAAACGTAGCAAAAATTAATACAAGATGAAAAAGTTCTCACAAGAACACTAACAGGTTTACAATGAAAAGGTTAGAGGATAAAATGACAGATATTTCAGACCAATGGGAGCAAATGCAGATATGCATTTGCTCCCATTGGTCTGAAATTGACATTGATATAAAAAATAGAAGGCATCCCAACTGTTGCTCAGTCCATTTTTTCTGAACAAAAGGGGGCAAAAGAGGGAAGAAAATGTTTTCCCAAAAGAATCTGGAATATTTTTTAGGATTGTTGCACTGCCCACCAAAAAGGCAGAGCCTTGGGTGGCGATAATGGCAGTGTATCAACATGGTGCTAATTAATACTTAAGTACTGAGTTTTCTGAGGAAAACTCTCCTGCATTTATATTATGAATAAGGAATATTATACAAAATTTCATGCAGTTAACTTGATCTTCTACAAGCAATCTCGCCATCGAATAACATAAAAACTTATTCTTAACTACTCATGGACTAATAAGCTTGATTTTCAGCAAAATCAAACACAACTAGGAATACAGGAAAGGGGGCAGAATTTATTTATCATGTTCAAACAAAATGAATATATTGCACATGTGAATATATTAAAGAAAATTAATATATTGTGTTCAGGACAAATATACATATGAGATTTTTATGCACCGAAAAATAACCAATTAAAAGGTATATGCTGCTGCAAAAGTTCCAAAACAGGTAAATTTTAACATTTAATGTAGTCAGATAGTTTAAATCTGAAAAATATTTCTAAATGTTTTGATTTGGGCCTTTTATTATACTATATTTGTAGATGTCATTTATCAGCATCAGCTAATAAAAGAATCTAAGATATAAAGATAAACTATTATAATGCATCAATACTGAAATGTTTTGTTTGGCATGCTGTTTTAAGCTTCTGCTCCACTTCCTTATTTTCAAATACAGGTATTTAAAAATATACGCAAAACATACTTCTATTATTAAAAAATGAAGAACCTGTATGTATGCATGCATGATCATGGCACTGTGGAAAAACCATGGCATCTAGAGCCACCAAATTTTGAACACACATAGTCCTTCACCCGAAGACATGTACCTTAAAGCTAGAATTTTGAATTTCAAATTTGATTTTTACTTATTTAATATTTTCTGCACATTTAATGAATTTTTTTATTAACAAATTGAGCAATTTAAATAAAAGCAACATAGTGCCATTTAACAACTTGGAAAATATTTATATGTTAAATTTAATCAAAAAACTTGGTAATTTTGAAGAAATGTGTTGCTACTCAGCAAAGGGTTAGATTTTTTTTTTTTTAATTTAATCAACAAATTCAGCTATTTAAAAGAAATGTGTTGTCGCTGCCTGATATAAAATATTTTTATCTTCTACAAACCAGTTTGCTGCCATTTGGTGAAGCATAAAATATTTTTAATTTGCTTTTCAATTTAATCTGAAAGTTAATTAATTACTATCTGCATTCATTAGATCCACTATGCACTTTTTCTAACACATTGAGAACAAAAACTTATCTCTAGAAACATAAGCCACACACATTCAAGTCAGACACTGATCAGCAAAATGATTTGCTTATATGCAGTTCTACCTAAAAACACTTTTTTTACTATTTAAAATTCAGTCCCATTATGTTTTGCCATCTTGTAACCAAAATATTTCCTCTGTTGCATCTGTAAAGCATCAAAGATATAATCCTCATATATCTCAGCATTGAAGATTTTTTTTTACTTGCATATACAGGTCAACCTGTAATATTCATGGTTTGTCAGTTCTTTCGTAATTAACACCTACTTAATAGTCGACAGCACTTTATTTATACTGGGTGACATAAACAAAATAAACATATATACTTAAAACATAAATACAATATCATCTTTCGGACTCTTCTAGCCATACATAACAACATTTTTCCAGCTTCCCCTTCTTCGGAATGTGCATGGGTGGATATAGGAAAAGGGTGGCGTCTGTCAATTAGACTGAACATTGCATGTCTGGAGTTTGTGGGATCTCAACAGTGCCCACCTACAGAAATGCTACTTTAATTAAAACCTGAAACCTTCACCATAAAAGATGTTGGTGAAATGATAATGAATACCTGATTCTTTCCATATAGGAAATTATGTTTAGTGTTGACCAACAAGCTATATCTGGATTTATATGGCTTTCAGTCCACTTCCTTGAACAAATCATTAAACTCTCCTACAATAAGTACTGTAAGCTACAAGTTGGTGATTTACCAGCTCACAAAGGGACTTTCAAATACAGTTGAATATGAAAAAATAAGCTGTTAGCAGAAGACTGCATTCAAGTCAGAATAAAATTACCTATAACTTAGCAGTAGTTAACAGCAAATAACAGTCTCAAATAGCAATCACAACTCTAGTACTTCAAAGGGCGAATCACAATACAAAAATGTTCCACAAGAATCATAATTCAAAAACATTTTATGACTGGGACTACAAAAAGACTTACACACAGCATTTCTGCCATATATGACAGATTTTGGAATACTTAGAGTTAACATGTAGCAAAAATGGCATTCCATTCATAGTCTGTCTGGTACATGAAATCAGAAAAATTCTTAAAAAAATAGTTAATTATTGAAAAAACTTTTTCTATTTGAATAGAGATTTTGCTGTTATTTAGTTTTATTATCATTTATAAAATCTGATGCTCTATTCCTCAGGTGACATAGCATAAAAAAAATAATTACAAAAAAGGAATGACACAAAATTACAACTATGATCATAACAAAGCCTCTGTTAATGAACAACTTCATTAACAAAATATGGCTCATTGAGTTTCACTTTTCTACTCCAAATTATTTTACAGTACGAATACTATGAACCTGATGAAGCATAATGAATGATAGAGAAGAGAGAACTCTCACATGACCTCACCCTGCGGCATGTAATTGATGACCCTTCTGGATGATCTTAAGTGTTTTGACAAATTGCCAGCTAAGTTCGTGTTTTATGCAGTCACACTATACACAATATACTTCTTCCTTTACTATGTAAATATTTGTTTTAGAAATACTTAAATTAAAACAAAACATCTTAAAATAAATTTCTAAAAATAAAGTTTAAAAAATTATCCATTACTTCTAGTACAGAAGAAACACAAATAAAATTATTCAGTTACCTATGTAAATAAAAAATAAATTAAGTTTAAATTTAATAAAAAATAGATTGCGTGTTTAGACAGAAATAACAATGATAAAAATTTCAATATTTAAGTTTGTTGAAAATAATATTTTCATGTTCTATTTTATGGAAATGATATTATTATTATTATTTTAACTTAGTTTGATTGAAATAAAGGGAAACAAAATTTTTGCAGCTGCATCACAGAAAATATATATTTTTGCATTCAAAAAATATATTTCATTCATATTTGGGTAAACTACCCAAATAATGACTCTTTTAATATCAGGACGATCTATGCTCCCAGTTAGATAGGATATTTGGAATTCTACTGTACTTTTCATATTTACACTACCACATAGACAACTTTTGCATGCTTTGTCATAATTATTCAAATTAGAACTTACATCCATAGAAAATGAATTAATAATAAGACATAAACATAATAAGAATATACAAATAAGTGAATAAAATAGTCCCAAAGTACATGCCAGTTATGGTCAGATAAAGGGATATAAAATATAAGATATTTAAATTTACATAGGGAGATCAAAATTTTCCTGGTCTGATATAAAGAAGAAAAAAAATTGTTTTCCAATATGATCTCCTATGTACTCAATATATACTTTTCACATTGCTTGCCCCTGAAAAAGTAATCTGAAGGTTTGTCCTTGAGATGTTTCATAATTATTCTTTTCACACTACCATCATCATGAAAACCCTTTCCATAAAGGCTAAATTTCAGTTTGGAGAACAGATAAAAATGATTTGCAGCTAAATCTGAACCATAATGTAGGTTGTCAAATGAAGAAGTCAGGGCTCCCAACTTTTAATTCAACAACAATTTTATTTCAGCACAAGAGACGTGAAAAATTTGTAATGCCCTCGGTAGGATTTAAACTCTATACCTCCTGATTGTTAGCTGGGTATGCTTCTAATTACATCATAAAGGCATGTGGAATGAAGAGAGAAAATGCTTTACAAATATTTAGTCTCACAAAATTATTTTATCCATTACATTGTGTATTTCTTTGGAATTAAAACCTTCCTTAACAAAAATTTAATCACAAAATGATACTCAGTTTTAAACATTCAGAAGGAATTTGCATAGCACTTCATTCAGTAAACAGTTGAAAAAGAAACAACATGATTTTGCTTACAAAACTTTCATATTTATTCACTTGAAATTTCCACTATATGTCTGCAAGAACAATTTATTATCAAATTGATTTTTATAAAGATTAAGCCAGAAACTCTGGATCTACCTATATTCTACATACAGAATGGTTATAACCTATAACTTTAGCCCTCTAGTGAGTAAAGTGTTGCACGAAACATAACCACATTTGATGTCTATACATACCGGACCATGGGATCTCGATTTCTTTAAAAACAATATTAGTACCAAATGTTGACACAAGGGGAAATGCTTACACTGCAAAAGTATATAAGTGTAATGATGAATGATTAAATGCCAAACGACACAGCACACATCAATTTCATTAATAAAACATTATTGTTACTTGCATATGGGGTTCAATATGGCCATTACTGTGATATTCCAAGAACTGCATATGTTTCATCACATTTTCCATGTTGGCTCACAACACATCAGAATCCATTTTCCTAATCTGTAACATTATTTGATCTTTCAATGTTATGATATCAGGTACACCTTTAAGAAATTCCCACGACGTCCCAATGATTGCAATTTGGCGATCTCAGTGGCCATACCATAGGAAATGCACGACTAATAATTCTAACGTCAGAGAAATTTTGCTGCAATACATGTTGTACCTTAAGTCCTGTGTGTGGTGGTGCACCATCCTGCATGAATATTGTGGAATCGAGACTCCCTCAATGCTGCAGTTGTGGAACCACGAAGTTCTGTAGGATATGAGCATAATTGTTAGCAGTAATGGCACAGGTAAATGCTCCATGTTCCCAATTTTCCTCATGAGAGTAAGAATTAATGATAAAAGATGCTATAAAGCCATACCACACTGATATTTTTGGTGAGTGGAGAGGCTCTTGCACACAAGCTTGCGTATTATTCACAGTCCAAAAGTGGCAGTTGTGTGTGTTAATAAAAGTGTGCTTCATCACTTCATAAAAATCTACCATGATCATGTATCATTAAGAAGAACAGCATCGAGATTTCATTGAGATTTCATTGAGATTCTAAGAATCTCAATGAAAAATCAGATCATGTGGCCACATTGCCAAAGAGCAATTCTTGAACAGAAGAGATTTTATACATTTAAAATTTCAATGTCTGATACAGGATCTTCCACACTATTGCGTATGAGATCTGCATGTGCCAGGATACTGCACGAGCACTACTAGTACCCTGCACATTCGCCATCTCCTATTCAACAATAGCAGTGGCAACTTCAACTTACTGCTAAATGCCGCTTTATGTCCTCCTGGTTGCTGACAGAGTTCCAGTAGTTTCAAATCCTTGAATAATGTTTCGTAAATCTGTTATGCTCTTCGCAACTTCTTTAACCACTGAAATTCCTGAAAGGCAAAAACTGGCATTTTCGTTCCATCATACAGATAATACAGCTTGACTAACAAAGCATGGTTCCATAAAGGAAGAGTCATCAAAAGGCAGTTGGCCTCAGAATGATGAGAATTCCCCCAGTCTTTCCTTTTATACTCAACATTTTTTAAAGAATTCGAAACCCAATGGTTTAGTACATATGCCTATCAAATTTGGTTATGCTTCGTCCAATATTTTACTCACTAGAGGACTTTGAATACCTCACATTATTTTATAACCTCCCTGTACATCATTTTATGTTATTAATTGACAAACATAACTTCTCAGACACAAATGCAAGCAAATATGAATAAATACAATAAAAGAAAAGACTTCTGAAATACTAAATTCCATTTCTTGTCTGAATTTGTGGGAAAGCGAGAGGAGGAATCTACAGACTATCTATATGATATTTTAAAAGTGGATTGCTTAGTGTGTAAAGCAAGTGATTTGTTCCCAAATCACAGAAATTTTTAATAAAAGAGAGATGCACCTTTATTTTACCACAATATTGAGCTAAAGTTTGTCCAATCACTTCTCTTATAGAGCTATCCAAAGGTAAACTGCGGCCAGCACTTAACAAGAAACTTGGATCTTTTTCCATCACATCCACTAACCTGTCTAGAAATTTTTCAGCACCACCTAACAATCTTCTTAAATCATAGTTTCTTCTTTGTTCAAAAATCCGATTTAAATTTGAAAAAGTCAAAACAGACACAATCTGATTGTACACGTAAGTCAAATGAGACAAAAGTTGAGGAACGGAGGCTTTTGTTCTTGATACAGCAACAAGAATTAAAGGCATACGATGTAAGAAAACAACTTTCCTATCACCGGCATGTATTGATCGAATCATGTCTCCACTTTGCTGGACGAAAGACACAAGTGCTTGCATGACTCCCATCAAAGTTACAAGATGATCTTCATTTCCATGCCTAAATAAAAAAAATTATTTTTTAAATAAACAGAACATTTAATTCAAATTTTAATTACACAAAATGAATATGATTTAAGTAAAATTTTTAAGCTTAAAAGATATCTTTAGATCTGCATCTATAATTAACATTTCGAATCTTTAAAATAAAAAACTACTTTTCCATTTTCAGTGCCATTCTGGAGCATTTTGGCTTATTTTTATTATTTTCAGGGCTGGCTCTAGGCAGTAGGCAAGGCAGGCAACTGCCCGCAGTGGCAAAATTTAGGGGTAGCAATACCAACTGAACTACAATAAAAAAATAAAACTCAAAAAGTATATACTGATTGCCTGAATCAAGAAAATAAATTAATCGTAAAATAAAATTAAATACAAGAGGAAATGATAGGCTTCTGGTCATTCCTATATTTTAAAATGCACAGCAAACAAGAATAGACAAGCTTCTAAGTTCTGGATAGTGGGTACTTGTATATGCGACCACATAACACGAACTGTAAAATGCACGCTTGCCTCTGACAGGACTTAATAAGAATTTTTTTACTCTCTAATAAAAGGGAGTCAGATTTAAGACAATACCTTATTTATGCAATGATGTCCATCGTGTCCATTTGGATTATGGTAGTGACACAGCTTATGTAACATTTAAGTGTAGTGGATGTGAAACATGCTGTTTAGAAGTAAGTTAGTATTGTTTGTTAGACCTGGACCTTTAATGTTCTAAGTTCATGCTATCATTTTTAACAGCATTGGCTTTTTATGCATTTATATTTAATTGCGATTTTCCGGGGAACAGTTAAACTGATTTGAATACAACTTTTTGCTATATGTATTGCTATTAACACTGAAATTTTAAATAAAATGATTTTCTTGTGGTTGCTCCGTGGCATATCCGAAACATATAACATTCCTTTTTTTTTTTAATACCTATATTCTGATCCAAAGTATCTAAGGTTTGTTTCTACTATTCTTTAGAAGATACTCGGTTGATTCCATTTAGAAGATATTTGGTTGTGATTGTTTGATTAATAGTATCCAATTAATTTTTGTTTTAGAATGTCTGACAGAAGAAAAAGATTATCTGATAGTTAATATAAAAAGAAGAGGTTAACCCAGCTTCAAAAGCAATTAAGAGCATTACGTAACTTCTTAAGAGATTCAAGTAGTTCCAAACAAAGTAAATTAATTTAATTTGTCCAAGCTGTCCAAAATGTTTAATTTGTTCAAATGTGGCAACAGTTTATCTATATTAGGGCTTCTCAACCTTCATTCATATATTATGATTGTAATATATATATGTAATGATATTTTTAAATCAATTGATTAAATTAAATTCTAATAATATTGCTTAATAGGTGTTGGCGATTCCTCTACCTAAATTGCATCCCTGTTCCTAAATTTTGGCAAATCCTTTCTTTAGTATAAATATATTAACCTGTTTGGCACCCGCCAAATCGCCAAACTCATAAATCTGTCATATTACATAAAGTCCTTAAAACACACTCCTGATCAGAAGATAGCGTCACCCCACCCTCGTGATTTCAATTAATATCGCTGATTGGATGAGCCTCGTGACGCACACACATGTATAAATAGGGCTTCTGCTCAAGGTACAAAAACAACGCTTGTGAGATGGATGCTAAAATAAACCTACCACTTTATATTCCAAAATTTGTCTCATTCCTGTTGCCCTGGCTGCACAAAACAAATAATGTATGAGAAATTACATTTCACATATATATATATATATATACACACTGGTGGATAAAATTAAGAGATGGAAAAGATTTTCCCACATTTTTCCTAAAATACACACAAAACCTGGACAGTTGGTTGTCATATAATGTCACTGTGGTGCTGGTGTCATTGGGATGAGTTTAAGCATTTCTGTGGCCTCACTATGACAGCAGGAGGAATAAAAGTCTGAATTCAACTATTCAGTTCATTCCACTCTGCAATACAGTAGTGATTTTCATTGTCTTCCTTGCATAATCTTATTGTTTTTTTAGGTTAAATGAGTACACATCATCACTTAGACAAAGATTTGAGATGTAGAGTCATGGGTGGACAGTCCCAAGCTCAGGTTACAAAAGACCAGGATGTTAACAACAAGTGTCATGTCTAATTTATGGGAATCAGTTTATAAACAGTGGGACAGTGTCAAGAAGACCAGAAAAAGATTACCCGAGAGGCACAATGACCAATGACGAATGATACTTGGTACTTCCAGCTAAGTGCCCGAGGACATCTACAGCTACACAACTGGCTTGCTACTGCCACAGTTTCAAGGAAGACAGTTGCCAGAAGGCTCTATGAGGCAGGATTGTACGCCAGAAAGCCCACTATCAGCATCCTACTCACTCCCCTTGCACAAAAGAAAGCATTTAAAATGGTGCATACAATAAATAACACTAGATACAATTTCAATGGGATAATGTTCTCTTCATGGATAAGTTCAAATTCGGTCTACAACCTGATTCTCAGCAATTATTGATACAGAAGGAACCTGGGACCCAATACCATCCCAACAACATCATGGAAAGGGAGCATTATAGTGGTGGAGGAGTAATGGCCTGCAGTGGCGGATTGACCAAAGACATAGGCCCTGGCAGGAAAAATTTTGCTGGCCCTAAGGCCCCATATGAAATGTCATTATACATATAAGTTATCATTGTCATCATCACAAAAAATAATTTTATAAAATAAATAAATATATATATATATTATATATATATATATGCAAATAAACCACAAACAATAAATAAAAGTAACTAAAATAATTATATAAACAAAACAGCAGATGATTCATAATTAGCCATTTTATTATTTTTTAATTCCAGGCACCTGGGCAAATATTTCCACCATTATAGCTTCAATTTTTGCTTTAGCTAAAATATCCTTCTCTATCAAAATCGTAAAAACAACCTTGTATTTGGCGTAAGTATATTGAAACACTCAATCGATTTCGAGGGCAGCTAAAGGTCCCTCCTCATCAGGAGAAAGAAATGCGTAGAAAGAAGAAAAATAAAGGGGAAGGAGTCTCAGACACACGTGGTCCTCATCAGCACTGCACGTGGTTATAACCGCATTTTTAATCAGAGTTACACTGGCCACCTACTTTTACTGAGCCAGGCTATCTGATCAAACATGTAATACGAAGGACAAGAAAAATTAGCGAAGTTAAAAAAAAGGAGCGAGGGGCAACTGTTCCTTCATGCTCAAAATCTGAACTTCGAATAATGGAAAGCAAGCACTGAACGGATTTTTATACCCTCTGGTAGTACCAAACGCGAGGAGTAACGCTATCTATCAGCAAAAATAACTGAATTAAGATAGTAGAATTTTAAAGGCATTAGGAAGGACTGGATTGGACTTCAAATCATTAACTAAACATGCTAAATCTTTGTGAATATGAAAAGCCTCAAGAAAATCCAATTCACCTATGGAAAGAAGCCTTTTGGATAATTTTTGCAGACCCAAAGTAAAAATTATCGTTAAATATCCAACTATGATACGCTATTGAAGACTTGTTGATTTCGCCTTTTCTGACATAAGATTCACGTTCCTTGATATGAAACTTCAACGCTCTTTTTGTTTGGGCCAATATATCTTAAACCACACTGACACGATATACTATAAATTCCCCAAGAATTCAAGACAGAAATGCAATCTTTTAGAATCGAAGGGTGAATTTTATTAATAGGGGAGAAACCGACTTGAAAATTGAATTTCTGGAGAATCCGTGCAATTTTATAGCTAACAGAAGGATAAAATGGTAGCATGACAAGGTCATTAATATTACTTCTAACAGTGGAATGTCTTCTTTGATGGGAATCTGAAAATTTTTTAACAGCTTTATCAATAATCACGGGAGAAAATCAATGGTCAATCGCAACTGCTCTCAAATAATTAAGTTCATTGGTAAGTAAAGATTCAGAGGAACAAACTTTACGCGTGCAGAATACATAATAGTAAAAAGAAGCCATTTTTTGCTTAACAGGGTGGCATGACTTGGCATGGGGTGGTAAACAAACTGCAAAGGGTTTACGGTACACAGTAGTGCTAAAATCAGTTTCATTGCGGATTATAAGAATATCAAGGAGGGGAGGGAATTGTTGGATTCAATTTCAAGAGTGAATTGGATGGCTGGATCAACTGAATTCATAATAGATAGAATCTTGGATAAATCTTCTTTATAACCGTCAAAAAGTGCGAAAGTGTCGTCAACATACCGAATCCAAAGACGAAAAGATAGTTTATCAAATCATTTCATCTCAAAATAGTGCATATAAATGTCAGCAAGTACCGGACTGAGAGGATTACCCATAGCCAATCCTTCAACTTGACGAAAATACGCATTTTGGAAAACAAAGTGGGTTTGACTCAGAGATACAACTCTATGTTCATCAATAGCAATGATTTCAAATTAGTTTGCTTCATAGTACTCCTTAATCTACTTTTTTAAATTTTTAATTTTGAAAAAGCTCTTTCACATTCAACTTGCATTGTAGACAGGAGGAGTACAAACTTATAAGCAAAAAAGACATTGGCATACAAGTTACTATATAAATTATATTTCAAGAGTAATTTATATACACAAGACGCAATTTTCTCAAAAATTACATTTAGCTTTGGATGAAGGCTCATTAATAGAAAGAGAACTCTCTCCTTCTGACTCGGTATCAGATTCAAAATAATGATTTTCAATTGAATTTTTTAGTATTTCCCATTTACTTGCTAGGTCCTGATATTCATCCTTAAAATTACCAATTGTTACACCTGCATAGTGCCCTAATAATATACATAAATTGTTGAAAGAATTCGGCGACAATGGCTTTGAAAAGTTTGGGGGATTGAGAACAGATATGTCTTTCCATTTCCTATGCTCTTTAAACCTACTTTCCATCGATGAAATGTTGTTATCCATTACAAAATTAAAGATGGTAACTTAGAATTGTTTGATAGGGAAACTGAAATTACAGACAGACAATTCTTCATTGTCCA